TCTATCTGGAATGTATTTAAAATAAACAATTATCTACTACCAACTTTTACATTAGCTTAAAAAGGACTTCAAAAAGGATAAGGGTAAACAGGTGAGGTAGGTAAGACTAGGCCTAATAACCCACTAGCAATGGTACAATCATAAGCCGTAAATAATATTTTCCTGTTAGCTTCAAAATCGGCGTGCGTGCGAGTCTGGCAACCAGCACGCACCGGCCACAACAGTCGAGAAAATCAGAGCACAAGCCCTGATCTGGTGTCGCACTGGTGGGATGCCCAGTAATGTTTACTTTTTCAAGTGTCTCATGTGTGGGACACCCGTCGTAAGTGGATTAACCCAAAGCCGCCGGGCATGGCACGTATGAACATGCCATTGCCATTGAATTTAGTAATTGCTTTTAATATATATGGCTCCACAAGTACTAAGTCACCAAGGAGCCAATCATATGAACTATCTGTCTCACCTGTTTACCTTTTACCTTGATTTTTGATATTTTCTAGTATTTAATACTGTGTCAATATTGATAGCGTTAGTAAAAAAAAAAAAAAAAAAAAAAAAAAAAGTTTTCCCACTTTTTCACGGAAATGTGAGGTCAAGAAGATCTACTAACTGACCCCTTTGTGGCTAAGCATTGGCAGAGCCATCTATGTGCAGAAACATTTAATCAAGCATTGCCAAAGGGAATGCACCATTTTCCCGTCGACATTAGGTTAACTGACTTCTTGGTGATTAAGCCCTTACATTACATTAACCCCTCAATTCCAGGCATGGCTAGGCCTACAGCCATCATGACATGATGACCTATGATGTGTATATGCATCATGGAATGAAAGGGCCGGCTATACACATCTTAGGCCTAGCCACAAAGTCTAAACTGTTGCATAATAAATTCAGGCCCCATTATGATAGGGTTAAAAACACACACAAACACACACATATACAAAACAGACATGGCAAATACTTCTGCCACAGCATCATCTGTGAGTTAACCCACTAACGACAGGTGTCCCACATATGAGACACCTGAAAAAATAAACATTGCCGGGCGTCCCGCCAGTGTGACGCTGTACCAGGGCTCGCACTCTGACACAGCAGCAGGCCGCAGCCAGCACGTGGGCAGAGTCCGGGCCAGCCCCGCGTACCAATTTTGTAGTCACCCAGAATCTTTTATTTTCGGCTTCAAAATATACCAGCATTAATGGGTTAAATATATAGTCCTTGGGTCCCTCATTCCTTCACTCACACTTAATGAGTCCCTGAAGTTCAGAACTTCAAGTTCATAAAGAACAGGATAATAATGATCTATTAGTTTTTAAAATCATTTCCTAAAGTATGATCTTTTTTGAAGGGGATCTACTTTCACAAACAAATAAACTGTTCCCTTATAGATATTCATAACAAGTATAATTTGGATTTTTTAAAAATGTTTAATCATATTTCTTCTTATCATTATCATTATCATCCAATATTTTTCTTTCATGTTTCCTCTTACTGCACTGATCTCAACATCAACAACTCCTGAATTTGTCCTCGAAGATTTTCCCAGTTCCTGGATTTCTGCAACCTGGCCTGCACCTCACAATAGGATTTCCCTATACCAAGCCACATCTTGTAGCAGTTCCTGATTGGACATGATGCAGCACCACACCTGACTCGTGATTGGCAGACTCCTGCCATGGAACCGACCACCTTCCCTTGGAGCAACTAGCTTTAAAAGCCGAGGCAATGATCGCAGCTAAGGCAACCATAGTAAGAAGAGTGTCCGCCGCATGGAATTCCTCGCAGCCCAGGTGTGTGTGTGTGTGTGTGTGTGTGTGTGTGTGTGTGTGTGTGTGTGTGTGTGTGTGTGTGTGTGTGTGTGTGTGTGTGTGTGTGTGTGTGTTGTGTGTGTGTGTGTGTGTGTGTGTGTGTGTACATGTGTGTGTGTGAGTTTACATGTGTGTGTGTGTGTGTGTTAACATGTGTGTGTGTGAGTTTACATGTGTGTGTGTGACATGTGTGTGTGAGTTTACATGTGTGTGTGAGTTTACATGTGTGTGTGAGTTTACATGTGTGTGTGAGTTTACATGTGTGTGTGTCAGTTTACATGTGTGTGTGTGAGTTTACATGTGTGTGTCTACATGAGTGTGAGATTACACACTCATAATTAACTCACAGATATCCTTCACAGATATCAAAGCATCCAACACTATGCACAAGAAAACCCCTTTTTTACATAAAGACAGTCACAAAAATCTACACTTTTATCATCTCCCTTACAGATTATAATGATCTGTAGATTTTTTTTTCTTTACTCAACCAAGCTCTCACATGTTTCTCGATGAACGCACATAAATCTAAGCTGATACTGTAATACCTGGCATGTTGTAATCACTTGTGGTAAGTGATTCATAAAAGTCATGCATATCTTGGAACCAGGAAATGTTAACTGCATACAGGTGGTGGATATAAAAAAGGAGGTGATGGAGGAGGAGGAGGTGAAGAGAGGAGAGAGGGAAGGAGAGGAGAGGAGGAAAGAGGAGGAGGAGGAGGAGGAGGAGGAGGAGGAGGAGGAGGAGGAGGAGGGAGGAGGAGGAGGAGGAGGAGGAGGAGGAGGAGGAGGAGGAGGAGGAGGAGAAGGGAAGAGGTGAAGGGAGGAGGAAGAGGTGAAGGGGGGAAGAGGAAGGGGAAGGAGGTGAAGGGAGGAGGAAGAGGAGAAGGGAGGAGGAAGAGGAGAAGGGAGGAAAAGAAGGGGGAAGGGAAAAGGAGGAGGAGGAGGCACTAGCAAATCCAGTCTCACTACTTATATAAATAGGTTCTTACTATCATATAGAACCACTCTCATGCGACCACAGGTTGTTTGCCCTCATTTCTATCGATGGGGCGGAGAGTGCAATAAAACCAAAAATAGCTGATGAACAAAAGTATAAATCCAAGAGTGTAAAGGATTACAGAGAACTTGATATTGGAGATAAGGTCCTGATAAGATCATATACCTTCTCAGAAGAAAAACAGACTGAAGGAAAAGATGTACAAATGCTGCGTAAATTGCATTATGTGGTGAAAAATGTGTGGAATTCATGATTAACAGATTGCAACAGGAACAATGAAGGGAAGGGCAAGAAAACACACGAATATGCCGAAGGCCTTTTCGCTATTGCCCTGACGAAGCAATAGCGAAAAGGCCTTCAGCATATTCATGTGTTTTCTTGCCCTTCCCTTCGTTGTTCCTGTTGCATGGTGAAAGACCACGATGGCAAAGAGATAAAAAGGCCTATCAATGAACTGAAGCCAACGCATCTAATATGGAAGGCTGTGATCATATTTCCTTCTACACAAGAGTATCAGTCTAAACATCAGGAAAATAAGGAAGTTACGGTAGACCCACAGAATATGCCTTCTCAGAAATCTAAAAAGAAAGCTTCCACAAAGGTCAACCATATATAAACTTCCAGCTAGGTATACTGATAAGTATATTCTTATTGGACATTAGTAATTGTATTTATGGTAAGCAAGTCATTGAGATATGTGTAATAATTGTAAGCTTTGTGACAGTTATAATAATTATGATAATTATGATATTGGCAACTATTGTGCTATTGTGCTATTTCTGATATTATGTACTTAATTTGTGTGTTTTTGTGATACTCAATATTACTACCATCTTCCATAAGGGGAGAAGGAAGTGTTATGCATTAACATACACTAAATCATTTGTGTGATACCCAATANATATATTTACATTTTTTTTTTTTAATTTAATTTTATTATTTTCTTTTATTTCATAAACGTGACCCAAAAAAGAAGAGAGAAAAAAAAAAAAAGAGAAAAAAAAAAAAAAAAAAAAAAAAAGGACAAAAAAAAAAAAAAAAAAAAAGAAAAAAAAAAAAAGACCCCGAGAAAAAGGAAAAAACAAAAAAGGAAAGGAAGAAAGAAGAAAAAAAAAAAGAAAAAAAAAGAAGGAGAAGAAAAAAGAGGAAAAAAAAGAAAAAAGAGAAAGAAAGAAAAAAACAAAAAAGACAAAAAAGGAGAAAAAAAAGAAAAAAAAAAAAAGAAAAAAAAAAAAAGGAAAGGCGGGATTCCGGAGAGGGATGAGTAAATAAAACACTGAAGTGATGATGTCTTTTTCGAATTTCTATACTATATGGTGTTGTATATACGGTTGTGGTTTGATATACATTTTATTTATTTCATCTTATTTATTTTTTCATTTTGTATGAAGACATGACCCAAAAACGGGGGAGAAAGATGATTCAGATGAGGTAAATTAAGTATTGCCATTTGGTCCATTTAGATCTACACAGGTTATTTTTGTATTATACGTGAGGATGTTTTATACATGTTTGATATTTATTTTATTTATTATTGTTCTTTTCATGAAAAGCGACCCAAAAAAAGTCGGAAAGATGAGAGAATTGTCACAGAGGAGGAGAGGTTTCAGGACTGAGTGAGGAAAAGTGTTAAGTATGTGCCATTGTAGTCCATATTTCTATACATATATATTTTTGTCATCAACCTGATATAGTACGGGATGGAGGGGCACGGAGATTGTTAGGGTCAGATCACGCGTATTTAGACTAGGGTAACGGTTGATCCTCAAGGACATCACCAGGGGCCCAGAGACCTCCCCCACCCCCTCCCCTGCCCCTTTAACTGTTGTAGCTTACCCGTGGCAATGATGATTAATATCAAAAGATAATGAAAATATGGAATACTTATCCAGACAACGGTTGCAAAAATTAAAATAAATAAATAGATAAATAAATAAAAAAAATAATAAAAAATAAAAAGGAAACGCTAATACTACTAATGATGATGATGATGATAATAATGATGATTGATAAAAGGTACAATGATGATAATGCTATCAATGATAATGATAAGATAATCAAATGACGATTATTTAGATAATAATGAAAGTAATAGAAATAATGAAACTATAAATTTAATGATGATGACGATAATGATGATAATGATAATGATGATGACGATAATGATGATAATGATAATAATGATGATGA